GGGGACATTTTTGGAGTAATAGAAGATAAAAATAAGTGTAGGAGTAGATAACTGGAATTGTGAACAAATAAAGACAAGTGGAGTAATGAATTACCAGGGTGATAGTTGGGGAAGTAAATAAAGATAACTAGAGTCATAAATAACCTGAAAAATAGGCAAATGGAGTAATATATTATCATAGTAATAGCTAACTGGAGTAATGTGTAATCATAATCAAAGGTAACTGGAGTAATTCATAAAAATGATAACTGGAGTAAAAAATAAATGTAATATATATGACTAGAGAAATGTGTTATTGGAGTATTAAGTAGAGTAATATATAAACTTGTTGGAGTAATAAATAAATGTAATATCTGACCAGAGTAATAGACAACTGAAGTAATAGTAATAGATTATTGGAGAAATGAATAACTTAAGTGATAGTTAACTGTAGTAATATAGTAAAAGATTATTGGAGTAACAAATAACTGAAGTAATAGTAGATCATTAATTTGAGTAATGAACAACTGGAGTCATGGATGACTAGTGTAACAGTTAAAGATTAATGGAGTGATGAATAAGTGAAGTAATGGATGGTGTAATGGTTGATGGTTTGAGTAATGAGTAAATGATGTAACAGCAGATGATTTGAGAAATAAATAACTGGAGTAATAGATGGCTGGTGTAATAGTCGATGATTTTAGTAATGAACAACTGTGTAATAGTAAAGGGTTATTGGAGTGATAAATAACTGGAGTAATAGGTAACTGGTGTAATAGTAGATGATTTGAGTAATGACTAACTGGTGTAATAGTAGACTATAATGTATTTGAGTAATGAATAACTGAAGTAATAGATGGCTGGGTGACTGGGAGCTTGAGTGACATCAAGAGATGAAGTCTCATTGTTGGTTGTCATTGCTGGGAAGCTTAGGGAATGGAGCATGATGAGATACAGAAGAATTTTTTTCTGCCTAATTGACTATTTTGTTGTTTGAATGGAGGTCAAGACAAAGCTGGTCAATTGTGTTATGCTTTATTAACCTTATGATAGGTCTCTGGAAAATTTTTCATGTGGGGGGGGGGGGGGTATCTTTTCCTAACTTACACAATCAGTGGAGACCAAGCTAGTCAATTGTGTTATGATTTATTTACCATATTATGATAGGTATCTGGGAAAATTTGTCTGTTACCAAAAAAAAATAAAAAGGTGTTCTGATTTAGATAATGTGAGAAGACGTATAAAATTGTCCCAGTGCTTGCATACAGTTTTCAACACATGCTGGTGCCTGTTTCTTATGGGGGCGCTTTCAGAAATCTTTTTAACAGTCAGTTCAGTACAACAACAAAAAAGAGTTGACATACATATATTTTTTAAGGGACACTACGGAGCATAACACCATCATAATGTGGCTTGTGTTGAGAGACATAGGTCATGGCTTGTGAATGTAGATGGCTCGCATGTGTGTGTGTGTTTGAGCAGTGTGTGTGTGTGTGTGTGTTTTGCCCTACATTTGAGTGTGTGTGTTTGAGCAGTGTGTGTGTTTGAGCAGTGTGTGTGTGTGTGTGTGTGATTTTGCCCTGCATCTGTGTGTGTGTGCTTGTGTGTGTTTGTGCCATGTGTGTAAGTGAGTGCTTCTGAGTCTGTGTCCAACCCTTGTGTGTGCGGTTCTGAATCATCCATGTTCTTATTTCTGGATCTGAGTCTGAGCCGTGTATGTGTGTAAGTTCAATTATTCTTCATGTGGCTTTACAGCTGGTTTTTGCCTTTGTGTTTTTTTAATACAATTGTGTACCTCCACACCTCCTCCCCCGTGCTTGATGGGCGGTTGGCGGGCACTGTGGAGTGGTTTGCTGTTGCTTTTTCTTTCCCGTCTAACATATGTGTCAAGACGCAGTGGAATCAGGCGCTTGTCAATCCTTTTTAAAATCCCTGGGTTTTTTTCAGTTTTTCTCAAAATCTACTTTTTGACATATGTGACCTCCTTGGTGCAAGGAGTTTTCAAAACCTACTAAAGCTAGAAGCTTCAAATTTGGCGTACAGGTGCTTTAAGATCTATACAGGGGATCTATGTGAGGGAATTGGGAAATATTGGTAACTTGTGGAAATATTCAAATTTTTTGTAATATGTACCCCAAAATTTCATCAACTGACTCTCGGGGGTCCATTGACTTTGGGCTCACTTTTTTAGTTTTAAAGATAGGTCAAAGTCTTCACATGGATCCCCAGTTCATATAGGTTTGTACTTGTGTGTCAAATTTCAGGCTGATAATTCAATATTTAGTATGAAATTCTTCTGCATTAAGAAACTGGTTTGAAAATCCAAGATGGCTGCCACAGAGACCCATGGAAAAATCAACAAATTCCCCTTTAGTACATCCTATTTACCTATGAACTTCTTGCACAATTACATGAAAGTGAATAAAAGTCATTCGAAAAATCAACAAATTCCCCTTTAGTACATCCTATTTACCTATGAACTTCTTGCACAATTACATGAAAGTGAATAAAAGTCATTCGTTTTGAAAAAATTTTCGGGAGTGTACGTCTCCCCTTAAGTGTAAGTTGAGATATTTCTGATTGAAGAAGATGGGGGGTGGCCCGGTTTCAGATGTAAAATTAGTGAGAAAATAGCTGCTAAAATTTGATAACTTCAATAGCTTGAAAGTCCTTTAACATTTTTCAATTTAATTCACATGGAAGTGTGGGGGGGTTTTTTGGCATAAAAAGTGTTGAGACAAACAACGAAGATTTGATAGAAATGCCTGTTTCTTCAATTTCACTATTTTGACGAGCGCCTGGTTTCACCCCAATGCCTCACATATATCATACTTCTCCTCCTTCTATTCTTTGTATGTCACTCTCAAGTAAATCCCCGTCAATCTTCGGCAGCACTTATATGACCTATTTGTGTTGTGAGTGCCATAAAACTCCTACTACCTCCCGGGTCGGTGTTACTGACTGAAGTCATTCCCAAGGGGGGGATATTAACCTGTTCTTATGCACAGTAAAATTATAAATGGGCTGATTCATCGATGTCATGCTCATAACTGTGCCTGAACTGCAACAGGGAACTGTTGCTTTTTCTTTCCTTATCCTTATTATCGTCATTTTTTTTCCTGTACTTCTTTAGTATGTTTGTCACACTCTTGTGACCGGCTATTTCGAGGGTGCCTTGATATTCGAAGCAGACTTTGTGCTGTTGAAGCTAGAGAGGTGAGCAGAGTAAGTCTAATTCCCTGTAAGGACTTCTCTGTTGACACCCACCCCTTGGCGCTCATATCACCTTATGCAGTTGCCAGCACCGTAAAACTCTTACTTTAAAAAAAACTCCTATGAAAACTAAACTAACCCCCCCTTCCCCCTGCCTTCCCCACCCCGCCCGTCCCGTGTAGCTGATGGCCAACACGCGTGTCCCTCCCCCTCCCCTTTCTGGCCTGGATGGTCTTGGTCAGCCTCTAGTCAGCGGCGGCGTGTGCAGCCCGCCCATGTCCACCAACCACCTACACAACACAGCAGCCGCACCTCCTCCACAGCACCTCCAACAGCAGTTCATGCAGCAGCAGCAACAACAACAGTTGCTACAGCAACGCTCACAGCTGCAGCAGCAACAACAGCAACAGCAACAACTACAACAGTGCCATCCGTACCAGCAGCAACCTCCGCCCCCACAGCAAAACATGCCCGGGGACAAACTGCCACCTCTGGCTGGGGGGCATCCAACGCCCTCTCAGGACAACGGGGCATTTGAGATTGGAACCTTTGACCCCACAGCTTATGAGGTAAACTCGTGTACATGTGGCCTGGCCATTGGTGAGATTTTTTTTTAAAGCCTCACACTCACGTTTGGCCACTTAAGAGCTCTACCTGTATACACACGTGGTCTCTAATGAGGTAGACACACATTTTGTTTGTGGGTGGTTGGCTGGTGCTCTGGTGTGTTTTTCTATCGAACATCTGTGGTCATTATCTCTCCCCCTCCTCTTCTTTGTATGTGAATCACTCGTAACACCTCTATTCTTTGGCACTTATATGACCTATTTGAGTTGCAAGTGCTATAAAACTCTTATAAAACACATTTGTGTGGCCATTCAATGAGCTTATCACTTACACATGGCGGCCTATGATCTCGCCTAAATATGGCCACTCTTGAGATAAACCGGCATCCCATGTGGCCACTTAGGAACTCACATGCTTGAGGTCCCAAGTGACATACTTGTATATATGGGGCCACTAATGAGGTAAACTCACAGGCAGGTGGCCAATTTTAGAATAGATTGACGTACATGCTGCCCTTGGCACGTTTTCCTCGAGCCGCTTTATGACTTGGGCTGTTTTGCTATACCATATATGTAACCTGACCCATTTGCAGTGTAGCCATGTCGCCCATGAGATGCTGTGCTGTAAATCTGTGTAGCTCGAGGCACATGCTGTGTAGCCTTTTAGGGCCCGTGATATTTTACTGTTCTATGTAGCCATGTACCCATGATATATGATGTAGCGTTGTATAGTCATTTTAAGAGGGAGGGGGGGTACAATTTTTTTATTTTGTGACCATTGACCATATAGCCTGTAGCTTGCCATTCTGTACGATGTAATAGCCAGTCAATCATGCTGTGCTGTGTAGCCGTGTTCCTATGCTCATAATGGTCTAGATTGTGCTGGTGGAGGTCTGAAACATTTTGTATGCAATCATTTCACCATGTAGCCCATGGCATGTAGTTATCATCATTGCCTTTCTCACCCTGGATTAGGGTATAGGCCACAAACAAACTCTTTCCTCCCCCAGGGCGGTGCCACTGACTGTAGTGTCTTTAGGCCATTCCCAAAGGGGAGGGGGGGACATTTCTCGTTCAAGCACAGTAGAATTGTAAATGGGCTGATTCACCATGTCACGCTCATAACTGTGCCTGATCTGCAACAGGGAACTGCTGCTTTTTCTTTCCTAATTCTTACTATTGTCATTTTCCTCTACTTCTTTTGTATGTTTGTCACACTCTTGTGACCTGCTATTTCCGGGGTGCCTTGATAGTCGAAGCAGACCTTGTGCTGTTTAAGCTAGAGAGGTGAGCAGAGTTAGTCGGATTCCCTGTAAAGACTTCTCTGTTGACACCCACCCCTTGGCGCTCATATGACCTTATGCAGTTGCGAGCGCCGTAAAACCTCTACTTTAAAAAAAAAGGGTGATATAGGCCACGAACAAGCACTTTCCGCCTTTCCCTTTTCTGGGCTAACCTCTTGGTGTTGTGTCCATTGTATGTTGTGCTGGGTAGTTTAATGTAGCCTTTGGCATGTTGCACTGTGTTGCCCATGACATTTAGTGTGATCTGGTGCTGTATGTGTAGCTATGTAGCCAGTAGCATGTTCAACCGTGTAGACATGTAGCTGCAAACCAATTGTGCTGTTCAGTCTTGTAGCTAGTAGTAGCATACTGGGCTGTGTAGCTTATAACAGTGTAGCTTATAACACGTAATTTATAGCCCTGTAGCCTAATGTGACACGTAACGCTGCATGGCCAGTACCGCATCATGCTATGCAGCCAGTGACATATGCTTTGTAGCCATGCGGCTTGTGTCGTGTAATATTGTGTAGAGCTACATTACCAGAAGCGTGTGTGTCATGATGTAGTGGATTCAGGCACTCCTCAATTTTTGGGCACGTTGAGTAATTGGCATCATCTTAACGCTTGGTCGTTTGTCTATCTTTCTGTGAAAAAATACCCCTCTATCTTGAATAGAAGTCGAGATGTTTGCAATTGAAGGAGATGGGTGTCGCCTGATTTCAGAGATAAATTTAGCGAAAAAATGGCCGCCAAAGTTTTGTGACTTCCTTGGAAACTAAAAATTCACATTTTTTTGTGCCTTTATTCTAAAATGTGCAAAGAAATGTGTCCTCAAAGCCCTCAAACCAAAATTGCCAAACAGGCAGAAAGATACTGACATTTTTTATTTGATTTTTAAAATTTTTTTACGAGGGCCTGATTTCACCACACTGCCTGTCGCGTCATTGTGCTATGAACCGTATAGCCAGTGCAGTTTGTGACATGTAGTCTGTAGCATTGTGATCAGCGCCACATGTGTACTTTGTTACTAGTGGTTTGTTGCGCTGTGTTCATGTTGACATTTTGTGCTGTGTACTCATGTAGCACTAGGGTCAGTGATACATATTGGGTAAGCTCTTCAACTTGTTTGTGAACAATATGTGTTTGGTTTGTGCATGAAGAGGAAGACATTTTTTTTTGTCTGCATATTTTCTCTGGGGTTAACTTTTTCGTATGTTTATCGCCGATATGCCGGCGATGACGTAAAGATTCCATTGGAAGGAGTTCACCGTATACCAGCGTTTGGGGGGGGGGGGTATCAATCATGAGCAAGAAACACAGAATTCTGTGGCTGAAAAAGAAGAGAAATCTTTTCAACAAGAAAATGTAAAAATGTAAAAGTTTGAGGGTCTTGTACTTCAACTAAATTTGTATAGCCTTTTCCCGGAACTGGGTTTATTTTTTAGGGCTCTTGCTCAGGGAAGCCACACTCTAGGGTGTGACAAAACTGGGCGACCACCATCCGAAAGGGTTAATCCCACACCACCAGTGTCTGTGGTGTAGTAATGGTTAAGCTGTTCATAATAGTTCCTATCGGTCTTACTTTTGCCCTACACTAAATAACTTATTGTGTCAAAGTGCTTTCCTTTGGTGTGTGGTTGGCATTCTTGTATGTTTTGCCTTTATATCTTTTTTAATCAATCATTTATTGTCCTTATCTCTCCTCGTCGGAGGTTGACGGGTGCTCTGGTGTGGTTTGCTTCTTCTTTCCTATGAAACATCTATCGTCCTTATCTCCCCTACTTCTTTTTTATGTTTGTTACTCTCTTGTAACACCTCTAATCTTCTGGCGCTCATATGACCTTTTGCAGTTGCGAGCGCCGTTAAACCTGTACTAAGACTAAAACTATCTCTCCTACTTCTTTTCTTTGTATGTTTACTCTAGTAATACCTCTAATCTTCAGCATTTATATGGCCTATTTGTATTGCAAGTGCCATAAAGCTTTTTCTGAAACAAAAGTAAGAGTCTCTCTGCACTCTCCTTTACTCCGTAGTAACACATCTAATCCTCAGCCCTTGTATGACCTATTTATATTCCAAGTGTCATAGAGATCTTACCAAAACTTATTCTAAACCTTTCTCCTTTTCTTTGTAGGTTATTTTGTAGTAACACCTCTAGTGACCTATTTGTGTTTCAAGTGCCGTAGAACTCTACATAAACTAAACTCTTCTCCTTGTTTGGTTTTTTTTTGCTCTGTAACACATCTAATCTTTGGCACTTACATGACCTGTTTGTGTTGCAAGTGCCGTAATGGTAGTACTCTTGACGAAAACTAAACTAAGCATCTTTCTGCACTGTCCTTTACTCTCTAGCCTCTAGTCACATGTCTAATCTTCTGCACTTGACTTACACGACCCATTTGTGATTTAAGTGCCATTAAACTCAACTAAAACTAAAATTAAACTGTTCTTCTTTTCTTTGCATGTTACCCTCTGGTAACACCTCTAATCTTTGGCACTTATATGACCTATTTGTGTTGCAAGTGCCATTATACTTGTGACTAAAACAAAACTAAGCTTCTCCTATCTCTCTCCTTTACTCTCTAGTAACACCTCTAGTCTACGGCACTTATATGACCCATCTTTGTTGCAAGTGTCGTAAAACTCTTTACAACTGAAACTGAACTAAATTTGTCTTTGCCCAGAACTGAAACTCTCCCC